TCAGTGAAAAAAAACGAATGATCAAAATAAAATTACTTAGAATTTCTATGTAGATTTGGTGGCGCAGAACGATTTCTTCTTGTGCATTTTCGTGACGAAGATAATCGAAGATTACGTGTTTCCAATTCAAGTATCAAGCATAGATTAAAAAACGCAATGCTTAATGGAATTGAATTATGGAAGAAAACGTTTAAATATATAGGTGCAAGCACAGGTCAAATGAAAGAAATGGGATTTTGGTTTATTGATCTACCTCCGGATTTGAAAGATATGAAAGACGCACGTGATCTATTAGGAAAGTTTGATAATATAAAAAATATTGCTACATATATTGCTCGTGTTGGTCAATACTTTTCCACCACATGGCCTATTGGTGTAAGTGTATTTTGTACAAAATACTTCGTTATGTATTTATATATATAATGTTATTTTGTAGATTAAGTTGGTTAAAGTAGCAAACAAAAGTGATATACGTTCAAATTATGAAGCATATTATGTTTATGAAGAGAACGATATTAAGAGAAACGATGGCAAAGGAATTGAATATTGTTTTACGGATGGTATTGGTAAAATATCATGGGGTTTAGCTGGACGTGTAGCTCAACAAATGAATATTCCCTTATACAGCAAAGTTTGTTTAAGAGCATTAAATTTCTTATATATTGCTTGCTTGCTGATTTTAGGAAGATATTCCATCAGCGTATCAAATACGCGTCGCTGGCTGTAAAGGTATGGTGGCTATTGATCCAGAATCGACATTGAATGACTATTATATTTCTGTACGAGGTTCAATGATAAAATTTCCTAGTGATGATTGGAATCTAGAAATATGTGAATTCGCTCGACCTAGTAATCTATACATATTTCTGATTTGTTAATTGTTTTTTAAATATTCAATTATTTAGTGACATTAACATTAAACAATCAAGTAATTCGTCTTCTGAGTGATTTAGGAAATCATGATGATGTATTTTTTGCTTTTCAAAATCGAGGATTTAGTCAATGGGAAGTGCCTGAAGATCAACAACCGAGTGCGATCGATATCGCAGTACAGAAAAATGCGTCTTATTCATTATCGTAAATAAATAATTTTTTTATCTAGAAAAATAAAACATAATAATTTAACTGAACTATTTCTTATAGAAAAGATAATTTAATTACAAATCGTATACCTATTCCGCCAGAAGACGGTCGAAATTTATTTGGTATAGCAGACGAAACTGGTGAATTGAAATATGGTGAATGTTTTATACAATGCTCTTCATTAGATGCAGCAAACAATGGTCAACGAAAATTTCGCGTGATTACTGGTAAGTTGCATTGATAACCAATTGATTTTTTCAATATGATGATTTCTTTTGAGGCACCGTCCTCGTTACAAAAAATCCATGTCTATGGCCCGGTGATTTTCGTCAATTACGAGCTGTTCGTAATCATAAATTAGAAGAATGTATGCGTGATGTTATCGTATTTCCAATTAATGGCCATCGTCCACATTCAAATGAAATAGCTGGCTCTGATTTAGATGGTGATCAATATTGGGTTTATTGGGGTGATCGTTTAAGAATAGAACAGAATGTTGAACCATTATCATATGAAGGAGCAAAAAAAACAGAAGTATCATTAATTACCCAAGAGATCATTGTTAATCATATTGTTGAATCATTTGGAGCTGGTATCATTTTGGGTATGATTGCAAATACTCATACTGTTGTTGCAGACCAACACAAAGAACATTCGTTCTCTAAACCTTGTAAAAAATTAGCTGAATTATTTGCACTTGCTGTTGATTCACCTAAAACCGGGAAATTTGTTGATAAGGCGGAAATCCGACCATTTCAAGCAGAATATTGTAAAAGTTGGCCAAAATATATGAGAAAATTTGGTGAACCATCATACAAATCAATGAGTGTTCTAGAAAAACTTTTTTCAAATGCTGTAGAAAAATATTATAAATGGCACGAAAAACCAGTGATTAATACATTTCCACAAAAAATGGGAGCTATTAAAGGTGCAACAACAAGAGAAATTCAAGATCATAAGTTTAAAAAATGGCTTGACAGAGAGAGTTATAAAGAAACTGTGAATCCAAAGAAGCCTCAGGGAAAACTAGTTAAAGAATCTGATAATAATGAATCATCAGATACTAGTTTAGCTACTACACTGTGAGACTTTTTGATGTTTTTATTTGTATAGTCGTTTATTCTTAAACTTATCCTAGGAAAAAAACTACCAAACTTTCTACAACAGCAACAACAGATAATTTACAATCAGAAACGAAAAAACTTACTAATAAATTATCGGAAGATACACCGAATCGGCCAGAAACACCAGTAAAACCAAAATCTACAACAAATCGAAAAACAAAAAATACTTCTGAGTACATTTATCTTCATCTTTTACTTTAACATTCAGATCTACCTAATTCTTATTCATTTTTTAGTGAAGAAAAGCCTAATATACTAATAAATTCTGACGTTTCAGCATCTGTTGCTTCATCACTGGCCTCATCTTTAACAATCCTGAATAGCGATTCGTGTCAACCCGATTTTCTCATGGCTGTTGATACAAAAACTTCAACTCTAAGTGTTCTACAATTTTCCCCCGTCGCTGGAGCTTCTACGTACACAGTTAATCTAAATAAAGAAACAACAAGCACTCCTGATCGAGACGTGATAGTAGGTAAATTAATATCCTATATAGAAAAACAGAATGTTTTCAAGAAAAAATCATCTCCGTACAATGAAGCAATCCATGGATCACTTTATTTAATGGTCTTCTATGGCGATATAAATTTTGTTGAACAAAATTCAATGCCTCAGAAACTTGGTGTATTAGAAAAGCTTATTGAAGAAAAAGATGATCAATTTATTGATTTTAAACATGCCGACATCAATCGTTTACGCATCCAAAGAGTGAGTTCATGATAAATATTATTAATATCAGCAATATGTTTTTTTCTCCTCTTTATGATTTATTTAGGTATCATCGTCAACAACAACGAAAAATAAAATGGATTATGAATTTGATTTTCGTTTAACTTTAACTTCGTCAGAATATTACACATTGTTATATGATAAAAACAAAACTCTGCGACAAATACGTCTCTATCATTTATGGTCGAAATGTTATGTACGTCAACCAGGTTTTAATATGGATAGTTTATATGAAATTCGTTCTATTATAACACATGATGTAGGCTCATCGGAATTTAATAGAATTGTTGATTTAGTCTTACGAACTCAATCAACTGGATTATTCGATGGTCGTAAACCAAATATTAAAATAAATCGTAGTCTTCTTCACTCGTCAGTCGTACCAATCAGTCTCAAAGTTATTGAAGAAGATCAAGAAACTCGAATATATCCATTAACATCTGAAGCTTTCTATCGAAAGGTAAAATATGTATCAATAGATGAACAACAAGATAAACCGAAAGTAACCTCAACCATGGAATATCATGTCTCACCGATTAGTAAGGACCAAGACATGTTAAAACAAGTCTGTGACTTTGCTTTGTTACCGACAGAGGAATAAATCTTTTTAAAATCTTTGAGCTCAAATATCAACAAGCATCACTATCATGGTTAATTCATAATTTACAAACTTGGTTTTTATATCATTTTTTATATCATAACAGGAAACATTTTCTGCCTATTCAAGATTTTTTTAAATATATGATTTTCACTAATGAAAACAAAACATAATAGTTGAAAAATAAATCCTTGAGGGTATAGGTGTGGGTGAAATGTCCATCTCATACTATGACCTTCAATTTATAGATGATATCGAAAGTATTGCGTTTTTTGAATTTTCAGCAAAATGAATTATTTTATTTTATAATTCTTGTGAAGTTAACTCTTTTTTGTTCTAAATAAATCGTACTTTAACACTATATTCATTAATCCTAACATTTAATACAATATAGGTTCAATAGATATAAGAATGTTTCACCTCCAGAAATTTGTATAACATCAGTCATTGCTTTAGTTCTTAAAGATCATTCTGATTTCACGGAATATCAAGCTACATGAGATGTAAGAACGACATTATCCAATTGAATTAATTCTTCGTCGATGTTAGGTTCATTTTCAAGAACATCACATTCAGCATATGAGATCTGACTACTTTTCAATAGTGAAATCAAAGCTTTTGTATCGACAAGACTGTCTCGACTAACACTGACTAGAACTGGTCGTCGTCTCATTTAAGTTACCGAATCTGATGAAATAATATCACTTTGTTCAAAGATTTCTTTTAATGAGCTATTATTATTCCAACTTTAATATAATTTTCTTTCTTCTTATTTAACTTAACAGAACACAAAACGTCGCATTATTTTAGAAAAATATACTTTCGGTATATGACATGGCAAAAATAATTACAGAATTCTCAGTCGACCGTCACTTATTGAAATCTGAAAATCTGGCCAGTATATTATTTTGAACTGCACTTTATTTTATAATAATATTAAAGATAAACCTTAATAAACTTTGAACTTATACAATAGAATTTCAAAAAAATATCAAATATGCTCTTCATAATTTATGTTATTGCTACTATATCAGTATCTGGTCTTCGATTCAATTTTTTCATCACAATTGTTTTAATTGGATCGGTAAATAAAAATAAAGCAATCATAATAAATAGTAGTGAAACATCAACAAATGAAAAGGCAATACGAATAGAATATTTTGGTGGTTGGTTAATAAATCCCATAAGAAGAAAGATTGTATAAGGTATACCAAGTGTTAATTCTATTGATACAAGTATAACTATTCGTTTAACCATTTTCAATTCTCTTTTTGCACGAGATAAAATATTAGCTGGTGTTACACGGCTATTAATCTCTTTGACATATTGAATCAGTTTAAAATAAATAAATATTATACCATTCATAGGTATTAAATATATACAAACTATATTATAGATTGATATAAAAGAAAGATGAAGTGGTAATTCACATAACTGATCGTCGATGTAGTATTGTATTTCACTAGTAAGCATGTGTGGAATAGTACAAACAAAGGCAAATATCCATGATAAACCGATGAGAAAAACTTGAAGTCGTTTTGATTGCCATGATAAACGAGATGGGTAAACAGCAGTCATATAACGATAGTTTGCTTGTAATAAATAAGAATAAAATTGTCCAGCACAGAAAACGTAACCAATGTAAGATCGAAAAATACAAAATGAATCTTGATATTGAATGTGTCTAAGATCATTTAGAAGTTCAACGATAGTTATCGAAAACATACGACTTGCTAATAGAAGTTCACTAAAACATGAGTTGACAACAAGTATCATAGAAACTGTATGACATGTTTTATGTATTGCAACAAGATATATAAATATTGTAGTGAGTATTATTACGAAAGTAAGACATATGATATTGATAATATCAAGAGGAATAAACCAAAACTGATTATCTATGATTGTTAAGTTCATATTTTTTTTGATATAAAAAACAGGAAAGTTCTTCAGTGTATTTTCGAAAGATAGAAAAAACAAGAATATATTTTTTTGCAAGTTTCAATGAATGGCAGTAATTAGACATGCTTTAGTTTTTACATTAATTATATAAAAGACTTTCTGAAGTTTAAAATATTCTGCATGAATAAAAAATTTGACTTCTTTTTTGGGAAATACTATAAATATAATGCTTTCGGAAGATAAAATTATATTTTATTAGGATTCATTAATGAAGGGCATTAGGTAGATGAAAGCATCAATTATCAGATTATTCATTGATGAAAATGAAAAGTAGAATATTTATCTTATTGTTCATAGTGAGGTAGTACGATGGTGTTAGTAGGTAGACATGATCTTTGCTCATCTTATTTGAGAATGTAAATGTTAAATAACAGGAACATAAAATGGTTGATAACAATACTAACACAACGAATAAGGATGAACATAATCAACAGAAAGATAGATCGGATGAAAAGAAAGGGAAAATATCAGCTATATATAAACATCAAAAAGAAATTAATAGAACAACTCACTCAGTACCCCTTCAAATAATCTCTAATAATGTTCCTAAACAGTATTTATCAAAGTTAAATTAAAATTAAGTTTTATAAATGATATCAATGCATGCGTACTTTTCTCTCTTTATCTATATTTACGTATCGGTTGATTAAGCGCTATAAATATATTTTGTATTAATTATTTTTGTATACACCATATGATATGACGAACAGAAATATCTGTTCTATAAAAAGTGTAATGAAAAAATTAAATTTTTAATATTGAAAACAGTAGTTATTAGTAAGAATATTTCATAAAATGAGCAGTCAGTCTATTCCGAAATGATCAACATCGTAGAACAGAATGGGTGAGTGAGAGTGTCAGTAATGTATTCATCTCATACTCACACCCTCAAGATGGTTCAATATGTATCCGGCCCCTCTTTCGAACAGTAAAAGCAATAGTAATCAATCTTGCTTCAATCATAATCTACTTGAAAAATATGGGTACTCATGTAGTTATAATTTGTTCTAACGTAAGAAACATATTTTCTTTTTTCTTTTCAAAGTTTTATAATCATGATATTAATTGAATCAAGATGAAATAGCACAGGAAAATACAGTATCAATTTCTCTACCATTACATCAAAAAAGTTTTTTACACGGAAATAAGGAGATGGGGTGGGGGTGGGTGTGAATGTGGCTAAATAAAAGATGAATCCACACCTACACACACCCTTTCTTCATATTCAACATCTTCTCGACCGTCATGAAACCATTTTAACCATTGTTGAAAAGTTCCAAGAGGAGGACCTTCATCACCAAATACAGCACTTAATTCATTATAAATAACTATCGGTTCGATATAAAGTGTAGTACGTACTTTAATATAGAAACGAAAATATTCTTTATTCATTTAAAAACAAATGAATAGTTTTCATCATAATCTGATCTATGTTAAAAACAATATGCTATATTGTCTCCTATATCACATTTCTCTTCTCTTCGTTGTTTTTCTTCTCTGTTCTCTATCTTTTGAACTTCTTTGATATTTATTTTCATTTATACATGTGAAATACACGTGTTCTGTTTGTATTTTTTCAGTTCACATAGTTAGCTCGTGTATGTATTTAAAGTAAAAATTCAAAAGAGTGAGAGGAAACTCAAGAGTATCAGAAATTTTGCTTATGTAATATTGTGGATATGTGTCTCTTCTCTTTACACTCACCCACACCTTCAAAATGCTCGACGGATTACAAGAGCAAAAGTTATACATATGTTACATCACCCACATCACACAATAAACCATTTGAATTAATGTGCAGAAAAACACTTATCTTCAAGAAATGATTAAAATTTGAAAAGATGATTTATTCTTTAAAAAAGTGAGACTGGATCCAATTGAGGAGATATTGTCCATACCAACCTCACACAAAGTCGAACAAAAATGCTTTCCTAAAACCAACAGAAGAGAATTTCAGATACATTTGGGAAGAACATATAACTTATTTTGAAGGATATATGCTCCAACGATTTGTATACTCTCAATCAGAAGTCCAGAAGACTTCGAGAGACGTCGATGAGTTTACTTATTCATCTTGATGACCATCTGTGGTAATTATAAATTTTCTTAACGAGGAATGCATAGTTTTCAAGAAAATGGGAAATGTTCCAAACAGATATAGCGCTGATTTCTTTTTCTCAAATTGAAGACTGTTTCTAACAGAAATGAACTATTTATATTTATATCATTTGTTTCCTTTTCTGATGGTAGCATGAGACGACGTGAGAAGTTTAATTAGTTATTTT